TTCACAAAAGACTTCTTCGAGCTTTGCAATGAAAAAAGAATATTGGGTTTACACTCGTCGGCTAAGGTATGTGTACTGCTGTAATATCAAAGAGCAAACACATTTTGTTAATCAAAAAGATTTGCTCTATCTAATGGTCAAAATTTTGTTGTGAAAAAAAACTTCTGTCAGGTGAGAAATCTCCAAACGTGAAACAAAATCTCATTTTGACTGGTGAGGCGCAAAAACAAGCAATATGAGGAATAAAATATATCTTTAGAATTCACTTGAACTGAGCTATCAAATAATCATACATTCGTCAGATAACATCGAAGTATACGCTTTTACTGAAGAGTTCAAGTGGCGCCGCCATAATAGAACAGTGTCACTTTTATGCAGTGAGAAATCTCCAAATGAGAAACAAAATCTCATTTTGACTGGTACGGCCCCAAAAATAAGCTATTTGAGAAATTAAACATGCCATTGAAATTCACGTGACTTGGGTTATCAATAAACTACAGAAGTGTTTTGCAAAAGCAAAAAATATGTTTTTGTTGAAGGCCTCAACGGCGCCGCTATAATAGAAGAGTACTTCGTTCGATCAGAAATATAAATAAATAAATAAATAAAAAAATAAGTAAATAAGCAAGCAATTAAATAAATATATACATTTATACATCCATGAACATTGACAAATGAGCGCATTTGGCGCAGCGATAGAAGTGTTCTACCTCGCACACGAGGTCGACGGTTTCATCTCGACCTCATGGCTCACCGGACAAATCATCCCTCCTGGGTCGGTAAATTGGCAGCAGACTGGTTTCAGGTTTGTCTAGGAGGATAAGGGGAGACACTGACTCGATACAGCAGGAGGCCACTGCGTGTCACTGTAAAGGTCACATATGCATTCAATCACCTCAAACGAAATCGAAATTGAAGACAAATGTATTAGGCATCTTTGAGAGATTGATCAAGGCAGACCGAGAGCTTTATTCTTTACCTTTTACTAACTGATGCTCAAAAGTGTGAACCTTAGACGAAAGTTCAACCCACTATTTACCCTCAACGGGACGTTCCCGATGAAAGTAAAAGGTTAGGTAGTTGGCTGTGACAAAGAATATGACCTCCTGGTGAAGAAAATCATCTGCCATCGTCTGCACTAAACATGCGTCTAAGAAAAGTCCTCCACGAAAAACATCAGCGGCATCAAAACTGCGGAAAAAGCCTTTTAGCTGTAGGTATTTTGAATGTGGAAAATCGTGGAGAATAACGAAACGAATTTGTTTGATGCAGTAGGCATAAAGTGGTGGTCTCAAGAGAGAAAAATTAAGCATAGTCGTCAATAACCTACGTGTAATTAACCAACCTCGAGTAATCGCGTAAGCCTTTCTGAGCAAAAAAATTCGTTGTGACAACATAAAGCTCCTGACAATGGGGATAGACTATGCTAAAAACGGATTAGGTGCAGAGCCCTATTTAAGGCTTGTTATTTGATTGTGGCATCACCTCGACTTTAATGAAAACATGTGACCATTATCACCTGCTTCCTACGTCACCTGTCGTCCAATTAATAACTATGCAATTGTATATCGTTCAAAATATCGGATAATTATTTTTTGAGTCACTATGTCATGTGGTCTTCTAAGGGCACTTATAGAACACAATACATGTGTTTCGGCCTTGACACCCTCATCAGTTAGGCGGCACTCCTCGTCTTAGCTAAACCCTTCGGAGGTGCTCATTCTGCATGAAGTAGGCAACGGCGTACAATTTTTACGTACCGTCAATTGCAATAAATCACTAGATGGGCAGTGTTGCACACTCGATTGCTCATGGCTAGTATTTATGAAATATCATACCGTTCGCTTCGAATGTTTTCTTGAAACCATGATTGAAATTCCGATTCTGTAATCATCTTTGGAATTAGTTGTCATATGAAAATCGAGAAAACTTATCTTGATTAGCTAACGCGAGGTTGGTAATAGTCGTAGGATTTCGGCTGACGTTTCGGCGACCCGCCTTCTTCAGAGCCTGGGCGTATGTAATATTAGTTCATTTGAATGATTCGGATGGTCTTATTTTTATGTTTGTTTGTTTTGTTACTTATTAATAATTTTGTTCACCGCCCATTGCTCTACTGCCGTTATATAGACGATCGTTCTATTGTCTGTTCCACACAAGAGGAAATGGACAAATGTTTTGAAGTCTTGAACGGACAGAGCATGTAAAATTTACGCGAGAAAGTCCAAGCGGAAGCTGGCTTCCATTCTTAAACATCCAAGTAAAGTTTTTGGATAGTGGCTATAGTACAAAATGGAATCGAAAACCAAGTAACAAAAACATTTTGGTCAATCACCTTTCCCTCTCATCCTTCACACAAGATTAAATCGCTAATTAAGAACATGTTTCGGACGGCTAAAAATGTGTGCACAGCAGAAGAAGAAAGGAACGAATCATTAGATTTGGCACGAAAAATCGCCATTTCCAACGGCTACAAAACATTTGCTATTTGGCAATATTCAAAAGGTAGTTCCATTGAAACTGCCATTTATATCAAACAAAATTAGTAGCGCGGTTAAAAGGTGTCTAAAAAGATGCGGTCTTGAAAATTTCGAGGTAGTTATCCAAGTCCCACCTCCCACCCTACGTCATCAGCTGATCCGCAATAGACTTTATGATCGATTGTGCAACACCAAAAACTGTACGATCTGCCTTAATGGAAAAGAGGAGGATTATATGAGATCGGGCACAATTTATTTACTAACATGTAAAACATGCGGGGAAGAATATATAGGCGAAACGGGTAGACCACTTTTTATCCGCATAAAAGAACATCTAAATAGTTAATCTAAAAAAGATAAAACGAAACCTTTAGGTTTACATAGGGTAAAAAAACACAACAACAAAGATTTTGATGTGACTGTCACGTTTCTAAAACAGGAATTAAAAACATCCACGAGCAAAACTTTTAAAGTATATTGGATAAACGCCAAAAACCTCGAAATGAAACGGAAGGACGAGTGCGTCACCATCACACAAGGTCCCGCGCCCTCTCTTCGTTTGATCTTCTAACCTGACCTAGGCAGCATATAAATAAGACCATCCGAATCTTTCAAATAGACTAATACTACATACGCTCAGGCTCTGAAGAAGGCGGGTCGACGAAACGTCAGCCGAATTTCTACGACTAATTTAGCAATCTCGCGTCAGCTAATCAAGATAAGTTTTCTCGATTTTCATATAATAACTATTTATGCCAAGGTATATAGAAAGTCGAACTTCTGAAATGTTGCGATATCTTAGGAATACAATTGGAATGAATGTACAAATATAATTATCACATGTATTGAAATTTGAGCTCGGTCTCAGGAAAACACTCGAAACGAACAGTATATTTCGTTCGATGGCATGCAGGAATTCCTCATTTACTTTCGATACGGCCTGAAGCAACTAGAAACCACAAATCTGAAGTTATTTTGGCAAAGGGATGTTTGAAGTATCTCTATTAGCTACCAGTAAATCGTTTATAAAGTGAAACTCGTGTCATTGAAGTTTGTCGTTGCATTGCAACAATATCTCGCTTTATCGCAATCAGGTCTCCTTATCCAGCTATAAAGTTGGGATCAGTGTGGGACGTGTGACACTGAAAAAACGACCGAAATGTGCGTATGCCAGTGACGTACCAACCTCGAAAAGGCTTTGAACATTTTCACAGAATGCAATTCGTTTTACATTTCAAAACCCTACGATGATTGATTACTTAGCAGCGTACAGTCCGCATGACATGTAATATGGTACCGCAAATAGTGTGAGTTCCATGATGATTATTCAAACCGAGCGGTAAATTTAGCGCATAAATTTTCTTATGGAGGAGGCGGGAGAGGCGAGTGTGCGTTATAGCTAAGTGGCTCGCGGTGCACGTCGTCAGAAAACAACGTTCATCAGCGACTCCACAACACACTTTGTGATCACTCAACGAGATGTTTACGGAACGTCCCACCTCGAGCTCGTCCGAGATCAGTCGATACTCCACGCAAAATGTTTGAGAATCTTCAGAACGATGAATGCGAAGAAACGAATCGAACGCTAGAAGTACATTGATTCGAGCAATAAGATTTAGTGACGTGTGGTAATGATTCTTATAAAGTGACAATAAGAAGCATTTAATACATTTTTTGTGTTTAGTCCTTAGCGTGTCCAACCCAGTTGTTTATTCACGTGTGGCTCATAAGAAACAATTCGGTACTGTAATAATTCACTAAAAGCTATTTATTATCGACGATTCAAACTGTCAGAAGACAGTATGAATGAAACAACGAGAAATCAGAAGTCATTTGAGCAGAAAAACCGATTGTTACAAAACATCAAAACGCCATATCTTATTAACTTCACTCATTTCAGTAGGATAGCAAAACTGCGACTGTCACAGCAGTTAACATGGATATGAGGATGTTATGGCTAACAACACTTTAAACGATTTGAACAACTTATGGAAAAGGACGAATGTATTAAATATCGTTTGAGCCCTCTAGACTCCTTTTGTCATTAGTGGCGAGCCTAATCGTTGTGATTTCTCAAAACCGGATGAAATTTTTAATTCGCACGAATACCTTATCCCTCTGATGTAATATGGAGAAAAAGGATTCTCTATTACAGAAAACGTTATGAAATACGGCGAAAAATAGAGGAAGAACAAGGCATGAAACTGAACGAACGAAGACTTGAAACATCTTGGGTTAAATTCGGTGCTCCATTCACAAATGTCATTCTTGAGTATTTCTTTAAAGCAATCTCTAGCATACGTGACAACTATCCACCTAAAATTCATGGTATGGCTCTGCCTTTTCAATTCACGCTATTTTTTCAAAATCTTCAAACTAGAGAGAAGCTTAGAGGGTCAGGCATGCCACTCTTGAAAATTCAAGAGTGTGGCTATATTTCACTTTTGTGCAAAGAACGGTCCACGATAGATTCACCTATGGTTTTAAACCTAATGATGTAGAGTGGCGTGCAAAAAAGTTTCCGTGAACTGGGACTCGAACCCAGATCTCACTCTTTCCGAGAGCGCATGCTTAACCGTTGCACTACCAACGCTGGTTTCACACACACCACTTCTTACTACGCTACAACGCGTTATGTGTTTACAGCCAACCGTCTACGGTCTCAGAAAGAGTGAAATCAGGGTTCGACTCCCAGCTGACGCAAACGTTTTTGCGCATCACTCTACATCATCGGCTTCATTAAAGCATCATAACACCGCAATAGGCGGTCAAATGAAATGATTTCTCATTCAAATATAGTTGTTAATCCACCAAGACACCAGTCTGCAAAATGGACGTTTCGAGATTATGACCTGATTCGAAGCAGAAGTTCAGTTTAGCAGAGTGGTCCTAGAGCTCATGAACCTTCTGATTTGGTTGGTGTTATTTATGTCGCTCTGTCATGGTGAGATATTCAAGAGATATCCAAACAAGATTACGTTCTCCAAGCAATGTTGGCTTTTCATACTCTGGTAGACAAAAGAAGATTCGATAGAAGACTGCAAACCGCTTGGTGGAAGATTTAAATCTTGTGTTAGATCGATATACAGTACGAACTGTAAAAGAGCTTCGCAGGAAAATTACTATTGACTTAGGAAAAAAATTATTACAGTGGAAAAGCGATCTAATCTAAAGAAATGCTGCAGGGATCGCTGAAGTATTGTATCCCGCTATTCGCTAAAATGAATGAAGATGGGATCTACACTACATCTCATCATGAAATGGAATTGCCAACGCGGAAATTCCGCACCAGTTTTTTTCTTTGCAAAGCCTCACCTTGATTCCCAAAGTTTCCACTGGCGCAAAGTCACTCGGGGCTCTAATTTCTAAAGTTCAAGCTACGATTTGAAGCTCGAAGAGAAGCAAAGCGCCAGGATCTGTGGATTTCACACACGGTCATCCCACCCAAAAGAGTGACAAAAGGGATTTTCGTGACTTTTCTTCAAGATGCTTGTTGAGTGTACTCTACAAGCGTTCGACTAAGACATCCTTTCAGCGACCATATAATTCTTTTGTCGCATGTCCCGGAGAATTCCTTTTGGCATTAAAAACGACGTAAAGTAGACAAGATTTTCTTGTCCTAACAAGTCCGATTTCATCCTATCTAATTATTCCTGATTACCTGACCAGGTCGTCACAGGTAAGTGAACGTGTGTTATTGGTACACATCGCTATCTTAGTTCGCGATCACACATCCTTAAATAGCTTTGGAATTTTCGCACACTCGCTGTAGACGCCCTATCTAGTGTTGCCGTATCGGATACTCTTCGAGGGTCATAAGCATGAAGCTCGATATTTTTGCATCTACGAATGGTCTGTTTGCTTCTTTCTAGATCGAGAAGTAATTAAGATGAGCGACTTAGCTCCAGCTTTGAACAGAGGTAGCGAGCGGCTTGCGAACAGTTCAAGAGCATTAAGGATGTCGATATGAGATTAAAGAACATTTAACTCCGGGCTCACCTCTTTAAATAAGGTATTATTCCTTACTTAACCTATGCTTCGAAAATATGGCTGCTACTTGAGCAGGATGAAAACTCATTTAGCGTTTTTCAACTCATAACTGCAACGTCTATGGTAGAATTGTGGATATATCTCGATAATAAGAGAAAGGATTTGAAGTTCTGACTCACAGATGTTTCGAGATCCAGAAATACCGCTTTTACGCAAGGCTATCTAAGGTGAGATGGGCCGAACATTTGGAGCATTTCAGTAACAACCGATGGACGACAGCCGTTACCGGTACACGCACAGCGGGAATATAATGAAATGAGGAGGCGATTTTTTACACGAAAAATTTGGGAGAGAAACATGATTTTAAACGAGTTTACAGAGCGAGGAGGACACACCAGCCTACTTTTGCACATGGTAGACAAAAATGGAAGCTTTGTTAGCATCAGTTCAACCACTCAACGATCAACGGTAAGACAGGTCGTACAGATACTAGCTCTTGTTACGCACATATCTTTCTGATTGCGGAGCGCATGTGAGTCGGCTTCTCACGTATAATGGCTTGCCATTCTCTCGCAGAGAAGAAAGAGGGTAACATTTTCATTGGAAGAGACAGTTAACCACCTCTCATCGTACTTTTCAGTGATTCGACGTGGACTTTTTGACTCGACAGAAACAGGAAGCGCGATCTCTGAATAGATGTGCATCTTGAAAGAAAACGAGACCGTTTTTATTCTCAGTTAAATCTCTTATGGGCCACATGAGTACGTGAGATATGGCATTTCGACTAATCGGATGGAGATAGCTTTGAGAGGAGGATTCGTGAAAGAGAGCATGTACTGTGGAAACTATTGCAAGCAAAAGGAAGGTGCAAAAATGTTTTGCTAAAGCAGTTTACACATATTCAGTTATTGATTCAGCACTAAGAGACAGTTTTTGGTGACAAAATATGACCAGTCATTGAAAGAATTTTTCAGGCTGCACCATAGTTCATAGATTATGCCTTTATCAATGGATTATGGCTTAGCATTTTTTAAAGATGTTATCAAGTCTTTCACCGTGACCTCTCCCTGATCTTTGAAACGCTCTGATTAAGTAAAATTATTACACAGCCTACAACTATCAATTTGTAATGCGTACAAATGGTCTGCATATAAGTGACGCGTTTTGAATGTAGTAATTTCCAAGTTCAATAAAATATTTATTACGGCACTAATCATCGGTTCACTGTTCTGTAAATGAATAGACACGAGGGTTTCACTACACCGCCTATTCACAGAAACTGCGACACCAGCGGAAAAGAGATAAGTTCCAATAGGTCAAACACTCTTATGACGTAGAGCTCTCTAAGGAGAAAGACAAGATTATGTGTAAAAAAGGCTGTCTTTCCTGCATCTGGTTAGTTGGTTTTTGGAGCAAATTGCCTTGAGTTTTAAGTGCAGTTGTAACTCTGTCAAGCATTGATAAACTCTACTTTAGAATCTCCTTTGTTATGCCTCTGTTATAATTCTTTGGTGAGGCATTTTGCTAGCCTCACGCTTATTACCTAGTGCTCCTCTATATAGGAATTATATCGTCTATCATCACTTTACTATCACTTTATTTGATCCATCTCACAATTTATTTCACTAAGAGGATCTTAGTACTTGTAGCATCCAATTTGTTCTTTCGTTTCTTCTTGAACATCGAAGAATCCTGGTTGAGTAAAGTTCCTTGCAACCTCGAGACCAATCTGATTGTGGCGTTTCACAGGGCCTGCGTTGTTGAGTGGCGAAGAGTGTCGGGAGTGGGAATCGGCCCACCGCCGTGCCTTAACGAGCTTCATAATCACTCGGCCATGGCTCTCCTGTTACGTCAATCTCCTCTATCACCTATTATCCTGTTGAATGTGGAGTAACTCTAACAGCACCAGCAACATTTCTATTTATCCCTGTCGCGTACAGAACAGCACAGTGGGTCCTCTTCGCTCTAGGGATTCGTTGAGCACCATATCCTTCTTCCAGACTTTTCGTGAAGAGAACAGACCATCGGGTACGCGGTCTTCCTCTAGAGCGCTTGACATCACAATGGACCCCAGTGAGCTCTCGTCCACCGGTTGTTGTTAGAGCGTATTACGTGGTCCCGCCTACCGTATATTCAACAGAACTCGTCAGCGACGAACTTTTCACTTTCAACGTATGGTGAGACAATCACAGTGATGTTTTTTCCCAGTATTTGATTGTCGCATACAAGCGTATGGCTTCGTTCTCGACTATATGTAAGGAGAATGTCCCAGAGAAACTGACTTATCGGACAGGCACATGTGTCTTGCACTGTGTAAATGCCCATAACGAGCCTCATGAAAGATCCAAAATGCATTGTCAGATTAAGTGATATATCAAATTGAGAAAGCTTACGTTGATCAGCTAACGCGAGGTTGGTAAATTAGTCGTAAGAATTCGGCTGACGTTTCGGCGACCCTCCTTTTTCAGAGCCTGGGCGTATCTAGTATTAGTCTATTTAAATGATTCGCAGGATTCCGATTATATGCTGCGCAGGTCAGATTAAAAGATCAAATGAAGAGTAACCTCGAGATTTCGTGTGATGGTGACGCATTCCTCCTTCCGGTTCATTTCGGGGTTTTTGGCGTTTATCCAAAATGCCTTAAGAGTTTTGCGCGTGGATGTTTTTGATTCCTGTGCTAGGACTGTGACAGTCACATCAAAATCTTTGTTGCTGCGCTTTTGTACCCTATGCAAACCTAAAGGTTTGGTTTCATCTATTTTAGACTTGCTATCTAGATGTTCTTCAACGCGGATGAAAAGTGGTCTACCCGTTTCGCCTAAATATTCTTCCCCACATGTCTTACATGTTAGCAAATAAATTGTGCTCGATCTCACACAATCCTCCTCCTTCTCTTCAGGGTAGATTATACAGTTTTTGGTGTTGCACAATCGATTGTAAAGTCTATTGCGGATCAGCTGATGGCGTAGGGTGGGAGGTGGGATTTCATTAAATACCACGAAATTTTCAAAACTGCATTTTTTTAGGTGCCTTTTGACTGCGCTACTGATTTCGTTTGATATAAATAGCAGCTTGTAGGGAATTCTATTCAGATGTGGATTCAATCCTTAAGTTTACATAGGGCACAAAGACACAACAGCAAAGATTTTGATGTGACTGTTACGATCCTAGCTTGGGAATCAGGAACATCCACACGCAAAACTCTTAAGGCACTATGGATAAACGCTAAAAACCCCGAAATGAAGTGGAAGGAGCAAGCTCTCGCGCCCTTTATTCGTTTTATCTTTCAACCTGACCTAGACAGCATATAAATCAAAACGAGCTGAACCGAAAGGACGAATGCGTCACCATCACACGAGATCTTGCGCCACACGAGAGGCTGAGAAATCTTCAAGGAGCACATTGATTGTTCAAGCCGAGATTTGATAGTGGTCAGCCTAGAGACATTTTGGAGCATTTTTTCAATCATTACGGCTTTTGTGGTTCGTAAATATCTAATTAGCTACTCTGATGTTTTCACAGGAGCGGTCGTTCTCACACCCGTAGAGCTTCCGTTCTGTGCATGCCTCTCATGTGCACATTCTGAATTCATGCTCAATGACA